TTTCTCACGTCAAAATCGCCACTTTTGAATTTTTTAAACCACTCAAAGCACTGTGATTTACCAAGAGCATGCTCACCGTAAGCTTCGACAAGCATTCGATGCGATTCTGCAGCAGTTTTCTTCAAGTGGTAACAGAAAATCAATGCTGTCCGCAAATCGTAGTTTCCAGGCACAAAATTCGACATGTTCAACGCTATTACAAACTATGCTGTTGTATGAAACTTGTATTGTTGTGAGTTGAAAATCTTTGTCAGAGATGTCAACAAGGAAATGGCGCCAATGACGCGGTTTGACGGTAACTACATTGACAGCTAGGGCCATCTATGGGCAAATTCCGGTTTCATATTTACAGACCTGGTAACTTTGCTTCAAATAACACTGACAAAGTGTTAAATTATAGAGACAGACTAAAACATTCAATTATTGACGTCCCCTTAGTCATCGACACTTTAGAACAGAATCTAACTTTTCATGCGACCAGCATTGCAGTCGAACTTCTCGCTTGCACTCTAATGATTCTAAAAGAGGATTTTACAATCGGGATTATGAACAGCCGTCACTAGTCGCAAGAAAAACCAGGCTATTCTGGCGTGTCAGTGACTAAGAGGAATTAATAATTGCATGTCTTACCGTATCTGTGCGTGAGTATCGCTTACCGATCGTAGCCGCGGCGTACACCAGATGAGTGCACTTGAAATCGGGTACGTTCTGTGGAAACAGGGAGAACGGATCGGTCCGATGCACGGCTCTAGAGTTTAAGTGGCACACGACTTTGGGCTCGGAAACCTGCTGATGCGTTCTCCGCAGAGTCGGCGGTGCTAAAGGCTCGATCCAAATGGAGTCGTAATCGATTCCGCCGAGGAAAGGGGCTTCGCGACGCTCCACCGCGTCTCTCAGGGGCAATCTCTTGTCGTAACTATGTGTATTAGCGATTATACGTTAGAATCGCTACCTTGTTGAATCAGGAAGCATAGGAAATAAAGATAACTAGAGATTGGTAAATATCGACGCGGAGAAAAGATTTGGTTAACCTAAAGTTTGGTTTCAACGAACGCGAACTAATGTGCTTTAGTTGAAGGCATAATTTCTATGGTTCTTATAACCCGAATATCGTCTTAAGAACAGGAAATTCCGTTCTCTTCAATTAGAAAGACGCGTTGGTTCGTTTGTCATTCCAAACTTTCGCCTCTGTGCATGTTGAGCGATCGAGCGATTTTATGGCTGATGTTTGTCTAATGATTCAACAAATTTATGAATTATTACATTTAACGAGACCTCGTCTCGCGGCGAGTAAATTTTTACGAGCATGGAGACTTGAGAAATTATACCGGTCTCGACTTTTAACGTCTCGCAAAATTGATATGCAAATTCGCGAACGTGTGTGTTTGTCAAACCGCGCGCGCAGATATTAGCCGGCGAATTAAGTGCGCGGTGTGTGGTTCACCTCTGATCGTGGTCTCGGGGCTGATTAGACTCGTTGTCGATCGGCAGAGCCTCGACCGCGTCGCGCAGGGGATACCTGCGCGAGCCGAACTCGTCGTAATTTAAATCATCCGATGGACGGTCGATTGGCGGGCTCTCGACAGCACCTCGATGGAACTGGGGAGTGGCGTCGTGATGTTGTTGCCATTGCCGGTGATTCGGATTCCATGGGGTGGTCGGCACTCGATATGAAAGAACGCCGGACGATAAGCCCACCAGGATCAGGATAATCGTCCGAGCCATGATCATGGCTGGCTGGCTGGCTGGCTGAAACGACAAAGCGTGCGGTGTTTTTCCTTTTTGCACGAAGATTGAAACGCGAAGGATCGCGGATCAGAAAAGACGCGTTATTTAACACGCGGTTCGACTCGACCTGGCCGGTTTCTCGAGTTCAGAGTAGGACCACTCGAGCCAGGACGTGGAATGCGCAACAGCGGCCGGAATGTATTTCATATGTAAGGTAAAATACCAATTCCCGGACTCAACCTTAGATATTCTTATTGTTTTGATCTCTAGCCCTTACAAGCTGGAAAGTTTCTATAGTGACGCGGCAGGAATGTCATATTTTTATCGCGTTATTGGAAATATTTAAACTTTCAGCATGGAATATATGTATGTATTCAATATATATGTATATATATTTTGTCTTTTATGTTATGAAACCTCCACAATACTCGAATTCAAAAATCAAAATGATAGGAAACAAATGTCCAGGAATTAGATACGTGTCCAGGCACTTTGCTTTACGACCGAAGGTGGTAGTCGGTTCCTTCCTCCATATGTCTTTATCCTCCGGTGATCGTCTTGTTCGTCGTTTCGCGAGCTGCGAGTACAAGGAATCATGATACGAAAAAAAGGCAACCTTGACGTGCGGCCAGATCTTATTTGCTCGTGCCGCGTTATTACATATTTTTCTTTTCCGTTCGTGGCATGTTTGTCATGATGTCGTCGATATCCCCGCTTTACACGCGCGATTTCTGCGATAATTCGAAAAGAGGCGCGACCGGTATTCGCGTCGTACACTCGCGTGTTATCGGAATAGGCGCGGATCTACAATTTCTCCCGCGTGCTTTTTCTATTTTCCGGAGACGGGATATCGTTTGGGAAGAATAGTCCCCTTTTCTCGAGGACCTCCGCGTGCCCGCCACTCGTGGCACTTCTCTGCATTCGCTATTCCATTGTGAGGCGCCGTAACGCGCTCTTAAAGAGGCCGAGAAGTGACATTGATGAATTCAAAATTTACACCGCGTTCGCCTGAATCATCCCGAGGACAAAGGCACTCGATGGCACTCCGCGCGTCTCGTATTTTTTCTTTTCCGTCGGCGTGCGTACGTACACGCGCACGCCCATTAGAAATGCGAAAGTCGTAGGAAGATGAGCGGTTCGCAGCGCACTGTGCCGAGGTTGCTTTTTGCACCTTGCAACAGCTGCCGCCGACATAAATCTCTTTCCTCTCCAGACTCACTTTAACCCCTTTCTATATCACCGGGTCGCGTAAGCGCGTTTTCAGGAACGTTTGAGACATTCTGTCGCAGATAAAAGGAAATAACGAAGGAAATTGGCGTATTTTCATATTCAATCAGACATTTTCGCGAAAAAGACACTTGCAGGGTGTCCGGTAACTGATCGAGCAACCGCCGTGTACGGGTAGAATGGGTCAAAATAATCATAAAAGTTATATATATATATTGAAATTTATATACATTTATATACATTTTGAAATTTTCTCAATATTTATTCCGTAATTAATTAAAATGTATAAACGAATGAGCTCACGAGAAGCGGTAGGACAGACTCTGTGTGTAAAAGAAATGGCTTACCTCTTAGCAACAATAAGTAAACAATTGATTTCGAGGCGGAGTAACGTATACGTATACGTGTCGCTTGTTACTCCGCCTCGAAATCAACTGTTTACTTATTGTTGCTAAGAGGTAAGCAATTTCTTTTACACACAGAGCCTGTTCTACTGCTTCTCATGAGCTCATTCGTTTATATATTTTAATTAATTACGGAATAAATATTGAGAAAATTTTAAAATGTATATAAATGTATATAAATTTCAAAGTGTATATAACTTTTATGATTATTTTGACCCATTCTACTCGTACACGGCGGTTGCTCGATCAATTACCCGACACCCTGCAAGTGTTTTTTTTCGCGAAAATGTCTGATTGAATATGAAAATACGCCAATTTCCTTCGTTATTTTAATTAATTATGGAATAAATATTGAGAAAACTTCAAAATGGTATATAACTTTTATGATTATTTTGACCCGTTCTATCCGTACACGTAATATAGCAGGTTGCTCGATCAGTTACCGGACACCCTGTATTTATCGATAATTCTAATGTGACTAGCGTGTATAGGATGTCCCACACTCTCCTTATCAAATTAAGTGGGAATGTAGGACGGGTTGAGGTGAACATAAAATCCTATAACGTGCGATATTCGTAATAATAATCGAGAAATTAATTGTAAAAGATTAAGGGAAAACGCATGCTGAATGGTTGAGGCTGGAGCGCTCGCGGCCTAATAATGTAGCGCACGGATTGGAAAAACAACGTACCATTGCCTATACTTATATTGTTGCACTCATACATCTCGCCTCGGCGCGGTGCGACAAGACGTAGGATCAGAACGATATAAGATGCGCGCTGACATCTGCCTGCTATATTACTGGGTCGCAAGAGCTCCTCTTTCAACCATTTAGCGTGCGTTTCTCCTTAATCTTTTATAATTAATTTCTCGATTATTATTGTAAATATCGCAAAACGGTATAGGACTTTTGTGTTCACCTCAACCGTTCTACATTGTCACTCAATGTGATAAGGAGAGTATGGGACACCCTGTATATCCCGACCCAATGAATACATCCCAGTCCGAAAGCCGGTGAATTTGATTTGCTATTACACAATTTTATATTTGTTATAAAAAAATTTAATTTACTGAAAAAATCCAATATTATTTATTTTATTTATATATAAACTATATATTATTTTATCTGTATATGCATAGAACGTCGGATAATTCATGACATTCATGATCCATTGTGCACAGGTAGAATTTATCAAACTGAACACAAGATTCCTCTACTATTTTCCAAACAATCGCGTAAAATTTTGAGTTATTAATTAAAGAAAACTGGCAAATGATCACGCGTAATACGATAGATGAGCTGTGATGGCAATGTCTGCCGTCGTGCCGAGCAGTACATATTAATTGACCAACGGTTGGCCGCTATATATTCCACATTGGCAGCTATAGCTTCAATATTGACCCAATATATTGCCGCCAGAGATGTATGTTAAGTCAAACTGAACAAAAAAGTCTTCTACTATGTTGCAAATGCTCACGTAGGTCTTTAGTTACTAATTAATGTCTTGGTGTACTTAATGGGATGTCGCGAAATGTCTCGTTGAAATCTTTAGTACGCTTTAAGAGGAAGCTATCGATTTATTTGCGCGATACGCTGCGGTACTTACGCGACCAATGATATGCTTGTGAATATACAACACTATCCAGATAGCACAAAATCTTCAGAAAATGTTCTGGGACATTCTTAGAGTGTATGAATGTCCTTACAAGGAACATTCGCGAAGTGTGTGTCTCCGATTTCGATGAAACTTGGCACGTTTATAGAATGGCCAAAAATAACCCATAACAAATAGACCCATATTTTCTTTTATCGGCAATGGCGCAGGTTTAAGAGGTGAAACTACCCCTCAAAGTTTCATGTCTTTTTTACTGTCTCTGTAACTATTGGAGATAGAAAAAAACTTTTTAAACAAAAGTTATGCGATTTTTTATAAAAAATAAAATGGGCTAAAAAGTTTTTTCTATCTCCAATAGTTACAGAGACAGTAAAAAGAACATGAAACTTTGAGGGGTAGTTTCACCCCTTAAACCTGCGCCATTGTCGATAAAAGAAAATATGGGTCTCTTATTTTTGGCCACTCTATAAATATGCCAAGTTTCATCGAAATCGGAGACACACACTTCGCGAATGTTCCTTGTTAGAACATCTTTTGAAGTTTTGTACAGGTAGATTCTTTCAGATTTGCTGAAGATTCAAACATAACTGACGATTAGCCAATTTTTTCTCTCTCTCTCTCTTTTTCTCCAAATTTAATTAAACTAATCTCAGGTAAAATGAGAGATACGACAAAAAAATATTTTACATTGATTAGACAATGAATGTAGACACATTCAGTACGTTATTATCTAATTACACTATGACGCTTAACACAGTTATGGTTCTATGTTATGGTCAGCTACGAAGAACTGCGGATTTTAGATACAATTGTTATAATGTTTTTATACTGTCAGCTAGGATTAGTTTAATTAGATATGGGAGGAAAGACAGAAGGAGAGAAAGAGAACTAGCCACTCTCAGACAATATAGTCTAATATGTCTTAAAGACCTTCAAAAGACGTCTCATTTCTTTTAAATGTCTTTAAGATATCTTTTACTAATTTGTACTGTCTGATCAGAGTTATCTTTTGCGAATCTTTAGCAAATCTAAAGAAACCTATAGTGTTGTAATTGGTACAGTGAATAATGCTCGATTATTTATCAAGACCGTGAATCATCTCGCAGCATCCTGCGATCTACAAATCGTAGGATTTCAGAAAAGATTTCGCGCGCAACTTTCACGAGTGATAAACGTACCTTACAAGCGAACCTTCCTAGTTCCTCCTGCCCGATTCGACAAGGCGCGGTGTGTGTATTTGCTTCACTGACTGGACCCAGCCGGGACTCATGCACTTCTGGTCCCCGTGCGAACGGAACACCCGACAGCGACGCGCGATCAGGCCGCACTGATCGGACCCTTCGGGCGAGGACGGAGTGCAGTGAGTCGCCCGTGAGTATCCTCGAGGCGCGCGTCAAATCGCCGCGGTGAATTTTAAAAGACACCACCGGCGGTCCCCACCGGTACCTGCGAGCGGCGGGGAGGACCAACTTGTGCGAATCTGGTATTCCGGACGCGCGAGGACGCCCATATATACCTGCTCCATCGAAGGCCCCGCGCGACCCGCACCCTACCCGGGCCCGTTCCGGCGACCTTGACCACGGGAGAAGCACGACGAGAGAGCCAACCGTCGCGATCCTCGGTGCCAACGACATCGCGCGGCACACGCCCTCCGGCCCAACGTCTCGAAATCGCCTTCGACTAATCCAATTAACCTCCCGGTAGTCGCGGCTACCTGAGAGGTTCGCGACTTCACTTTGGGCACGAAGTAGGAGTGAGAGTGATGCGCGTCATATTTTTCTTATCTTACGGAAAAAGAATTTGGATGGAATTTGCTTGGATTTTACCAAACAAGATCAAGGGTCGATCAATAGTTGGGTGTTTTACTCCATTTGAAATTGTGAAGACCGACTATGAAGGCTGTTCCATGAAAATATATCTTTCCTCTTTTGGCAAAACATTTAATGAAATTTCCATTTCTGTTCCAGAAAGACCCGCGATTACCGGAATGTTGAGCTACACGTGTCGCGGTACGTTCTTCGTTATCCAGCTCGAGATACAATGACGTTGTCACGGAAGCGTAAGGCAAAAGTACCAGTTCCTGGACATTGTTGTTATTTTTTGACCTTTAAATATTCTAAATATTTCTACCACAGAGTATGCGTATATTTTCAATACGTACATATATACATATACATATATACACTTTTATATATATATATATATACACTTTAAAAGTTTTAATATTCGTATTTAAATACCAAAACAATAAGGATGTCTAGGATTGGACACGTGTTTGGGTATTGGCACTTTTACTTTACATGACGCGCAAAATCTCAAATCAATGATTGCGAGAAGTGCAAAGTCACACCCCATCAACCGCTTCCTTTTGTCTATCAATCCCCGTCTATCAATGGCGCGTATATTTAGCGGCCGCAACGCGGTCAATGTTGTCAAAACATTCTAAACAATCCAAGTTATCACTATCGAATCGCTCAGAGCCACTGCCGGGTGCCTGTCGTCGATTTCGTAGATCTTGACGAGATCGCAATTTCACGGCGTGCACAAGGGGATCTCTCTCTCTCTCTCTCTCTCTCTCTCTCTCTCTCTCTCTCTCTCTCTCTCTCTCTCT